ACCACGGCTCTGCGCTCTCCTCCTGACAGATACAGTAGTACCTACCTACTCTGGAGAGAGACTTGCAGCGCTTGGATTGCAGCGCACGGGTGACGTCTGGATTCGGCAGGTCAGTCCCCAGTCATGCAGGGGTCGAGGGTTTCGGCTGCATCGGGCGTTTGTCGCAATACGGTATGGTGCTGTCGATCGACTGGGGTCATCGTCATCCTGAATTATACAAGAACCTACAGAGTACTCCGTATATGAACTTGACGCAAGCACATACGACTATAGGTGTGGAGAAGAGGGTTTCCGTCTGCTCGCCAAACGGAAGCCAGCCTTACAAACGCTTAAATAATACTTGAGTCCTCGTGGGTGATGGACGCTAAGCCACAGGGCGATGCTAATCACAACTAGGGTGAGAGGATGATTGGGGGGTTGTTATTTAGAGGATGTTTTATTCATCACCAGCTACCCTACTTTTTACTCAAAGCATCTTGGACCTACTCAAGAGATGAAGGTTGGTTTCTGCAACAGAATACAACGCTAGATGGTTCACTTCTACCGCCCTACTTATCTTCAAAGGCGTCGTCATACGGGACATGGTATGCATCAGATATCCTAGGCAATTATCGCGTTGCGGTGTCACCTCATGGCTATACTACGGATCTACCGGCCTTGATTAGGTTTATCATTTCGATCGCCATACATAAGACCGTCTCACACGGAATAATGTGCCCCGATTACTATCCTTTAACCCTACGGTTGGGCCAGACCTCCGCCTCCGCCTCCGGTCGACGAGCGGTTTTCGGGAAGAAGAAGACTGGAAAGGCTTCTCCGCCGATCACGATGAAGGGATTCGCTGAGTCAAGAGCTAAACAAACCTAGCAAGATGTTCTAGAACCTCGTGCGGCCACCTGGAATCTAGTACTTCCTTTCGATCCCGAATGGATAAACCAGGCATATAGCAGCTCTAACAATAAATATATCATATTATCAATGCTAGAATTAAATTGAAGGGCCCGACTCTCTGAACAAATAATCAATGTCAACTTCAACCTACTCGAAGTGGGTCCATAAACGTCCTTAGTCCCGAGATCACCTCCAATATCCTTACCTGCGCTGTCCGATGTATTAAGGCCGCTTTGGCCCCGGCAGTTAATGGAAAGTCAGGAAGTTGCGTGGGATTCTTCTTCCAAGTTACCTACCATGTAAACTTACTCGTAGGCTCGCCAAGATTCAAAGAACGAAACCGATGCAATTGCCAGTCCCTCGATTCCCGCTTGAAGTGATGGTTCAATCTCCGCTGCAAACTTTGGGTTATGGTTGAAGGGCAACTCTCGAAGCTTGCCGTTCATTTTGGCCTTGTCATACTCTTCTCTCGGGGTCACACCGTAGTTCCAATAGACGTATGGTATCGGTGGTTTGCCGGGCGGGTGTGCCAGAAGAACGAAGTCATCTGCAGTGATATCAAGGTCCATTTCTATAACCTTCCCTGTAGCGTCGTCGCCGTAGAAGCTGTGCAAAGCTCTGGTGAACCGGGCCGTCGCTTCTTCATGGCAGTTCAGGGTGTTGATGGAGGTCTTTATAGATTGAGACGTACTTGTCCAGGCGAGGGAAGAATTCCTTAAAGAGGTGGCGCCATTTGTTGGAAAGAGGCGTCTCCATGCTCGGAATTGCATCTTGCCGGGAGGTTCTTGGATGATCGTGAGCAATGTGTGTGGCACTGGCAGTGTATTGTTTTGCTTTTTACCGCTATCCTTGGAGGAAAGAAGACTGAGGGTCGGATGTTTCATGGAGCCTGTTCCCTTTATGCCCCTGTACGGCGGCCTGCACCGCCTGTATGCATATCAGGCTTTGGGAGCTGGCAGCCTTCTCTAACCGACCTCACTTCGTATTAGCCCTGGCTGTGTAACCATGCACCGTCGGGTGGAGCACCATACCTTCTATCCCTCTCGTTCTTTGTTCAAGCCTACAGAGTAGGTTTAATCACTTGGCCCCATTTTTGATTTTTGACAAGGCTGGCTCAGTGGTGAGCTAGGTCGGTCTCTGTGCATCCGCTGCACCACATGCGATGCCCAAATCAACATCCAACATAGAAATTGAACCGATCACTTTTATCGCAGCCGATTGCTCTGCGAAGCAGGATTCCTTGAAATCCCCCCATCTGCAGTCTTTGCAGAATGGCTGCTACAGAAGCAACGCTCGCTTTTCTTTGGCGAGGGTCGTGGCCACCTCACGAGCGTCCATACTGTCGAAAGTCACCGCACTTACACAATGGTTTAGTGAGCGTTATGCAGCGCTACAGAACTGGAACAACACGGAATACGGGTTCTGGCGCGCTTACCAACAGGGTCTATAGTACGGTGATGAAGGAGGTCTGCTGGGAACAATCAAGCGGTATGATCTTGATGCTGTTCTCCTGCCGTCTCACTTCTCGTGGGACTGGGCTGCAGTGGTCGGTGAGCCTATTGTGTCCGTTCCAATCGGAGCCATGGCCCCTGGTCAGCCTATTGTGTCTGACGCTGATGGATTGGTATCGGCGGCTCCTAATATCCCGTAAGTTACTTGGGTGTGGGCCGAAGCATGTATTGACCCGAGATATAGGTTTGGTATCAGTTTCTTGGGAGCAAAGTTCACCGACGCAAAAATCATCGGGCTGGCTTATGCCTTTGAACAGCGCGCCCTGATCCGCAACACAGTGCATCCATACATTGTGCCACAGACAGACCTTCGGGATGTGGTGATGAAGTGATATGGGTAAAGAGGATACCTGTTGGACAATCTAGTCGAGGAAATTGGTAGAGGCTACTACAGTCATGATACCTCCGCAAGCCTGACGATGACATGTAAATGTAGTATAAACCTGGTGAGTCTTGTAGACGATTCTCTCGTGAACTGTTACTATAGCTCTATGGATTTATGTAGCTTCCCATGAAAAGACCATCACTGCCTCTGGATTGACGTCTACAGATACTGTAGAAAATTAAGGCGAGGTGGCCGCAACAGATGTATCTAGTGATGGTGCCGGTTGGAAGGAACGCCAGGTGCAATCTCAACTTCATGACTTCGACCAGGATCTTCGGCAGACGCTATGGAGTTGCTGGGATCGATTGATTACCTACTCTACATATTCCGAACAGCCAATGCAATGCAAAAGAAATGCTATCTGAACACGCTCTAAACACATATAAACAAGACCAACGATCAGATATATGACTATGACACATGGCCTGTCATCTCAGAACCCAATGAATACAACCACCATCAAGACAGGGGAGATGCCTCCCCAAACATCAAGCAGAAAATGCGATGGCTGAGACTGAAACAGCAGACCGGTTCGCAATCCCTACCACCACTGCCAGCTGTTCGTCTGTTGAGCCACGGTCAGGCTCCAACAGATATCAAACACCCTCCTCGCCACTCAAATCACCATCTAGGTCCGACAGGACGATGGCAAATGATCGGCGGGTAGGGGTAAGGCAGTAGATAGAAGCTGACATACAAGGCGAAATTCTAATATTAAAGGCTCATGCCAATGCAAAATGAAATAAATCAAGACGGACAACAGAAAAAGAAATCCTCAAGTTCGCCGTTCCGAGCCGTAGCACCATAAAAGAATGTGAGCATGATGAATATGATGACGAGATGAAGTCGAGTCAATGGCCACTCCATGTTGGTCGATCTGACTCGTGTTCTCGGCTGGTAGCAGAAACCAGGCGGGAGAATGGCTTGCTTGAACCGTGACGAACCGATGACAGAGAAAAAGGAATATAAGAAAGAAATATGTCCGCATCTCCGCCCATCTTGTGTCCATCTGTCAGGAGGCCTTGCAAAGCACCGAAGCCCAGGAAAGAAATCGGGGAAGCTCCCAAAATATAACAGAGTATAGTCGCATGCGGTCTTCGACCTCCCGGAGGATGCAGAGACAAGAAACAAAAGAAAGTCGAGATCCACAACCCGAGGAGATAGAAGTACAGCGAGATCGTGTTCAGCCTATACGCCAGATGAGTACAGGTCTAACACCGAGGATCAACGGGTCACCTACCGCAGCAGAGAGCTTTCATCACCTTCTGGACGAAAGTAGGCTGCGGCTCAGTTGCTCCCTGGGCGCCCTGGCCTTGCTGGCTGGCCTTGGTCACGTTGGCCGGGCTACCCATGCGGCCCGGAATGTTCGCGTTCGAGTTCTGGAACTGGGCCTGAGTCGACGCAGTCGGTGTTGTGTCCATACCCCCGCTCTGGCGTTTCGGCATCCCGCTTGAGACGTTTTGCCGCTCGCGCGTCTTCCCAGCTCCGGCCTTGGCCGGAGAAGGGGGCGGGGGTTGCGCGGCGTTTAAACGATCTGCCGTCACGCCAGGTCTTTGACTGTTGCGAAGCTGCTGGGCATGCAGTTCCCGAGCAGACGAGTTGGGAATTGCGTTGTTGTGCAGATGTTGCTGGGAGGAATACGACTTGTATTCCCATCCGCGCCCATTGTTGAGCTTCATCCAGTCGTATTCACCATCTTCGACTTCTCCGGCGTTCTTGAGCGCTTGGGTCAGGAGGTCCCGGAGATAGTCGTAGTCGGGGGTATCTTCGAAACCAAGATTGCGGACATAGGTTAAGTACTTCGTAAATTCTTCTAAGCCGATCTGATTAGTCTGGGACTGGAAGAAGGGGACAGGGGTGTCATTACCTGGGAATCCCTCGCAGAGGTCCTTGATGGCCGTCGTTTGCTTCTTCTCACCAATCTTCTCGTACTTTTGCTTGTTGGTGGCGGCTTTCAGTCCCTGCCACGGAAGGCCACCCCGCAAGAAGTAGAGGAAAACATGGCCCAGGGCCTCGAGGTCATCTCGTCTCGACTGTTCGCGTCCCAGGTGGGTATTAATACTCATGTAGCGGGCTGTACCAGACAGCGACTTCCGCTCACGGTAGGGGATATGTTGCTTGGTCTTGGGATCGCGGTACTGCTTGGCCATACCAAAGTCGACCACATGGATGACGTTGGCAGCCTTTGTGCCGGGACGGCCGATCAGGAAGTTATCGGGCTTGATGTCACGATAGATGAGGTTCTTCTCGTGGATCGTCTGGACGCGAGAAAGCTGCACGGAATTAGAAACGTTCGTGTTCGAACAATGATATGGGACGCACCATCTGCTTGGCGACCATGACGACGGTCTTGATGGAGAATCGGCGGTTGCAGTGGTCGAAGAGATCCTCGAGACTGGGGCCGAGCAGATCGATGACCAGGATGTTGTGCAAGCCTTCCTGGCCGAAGTAGTAGACATTCGGAATGCCGGCTGGATGGGTTAGTGAATATGAAGTGATTTGACATTAGATTATAGCACTTACGGCATCCGACCAAGATCTTGTATGTCCGATACTCATCACGGAGCTGGGGGGCGTCACTCTTCCGTGGTTCCTGATGCTATTAGCCAGTGTTGACCGTTGTAGCCCGAGACACCTACAAATTTGATAGCCACCTGTTGGTTGTTCAGGAGATTTGTGCCCTCGAAGATGACACCGAAGGAGCCCTCGCCGATTTTCTTTCCTACCCGATAGTGGACACCCACGACGTTGGAGGATGAAGAGGCCATGGTTGCGAAGGTTCAACCGAAGGAACGAGGAACGCAAATCGAGGAGAGGGTCGACGACTCAGGAAATTACAACTGGATAGTAATGTCAGCGGAGAACAGCGGCATTGGATGACTCTGCATGATCACGAGGAAGCGGAAGAGACATATCAGGGGTTATTACAGGAGAGCCAATAGTCACGGCGCCGGAGCATGCATTCACGATCGCAACGGGGTATAGGTGAATCGACGAATTGACAGCAAAATGGAAGATGCGGAAGTCAAGGAGCCACTGGACGACGGTCGCAACGGTCCTGGATAGGGACGAAATTGCCGAACAGATGGGTCGCTGAAAGGATGGATGGGCTAATTCCGGCGGCCGACAGGAAGTCGAGAGGTCGATAGGGACGATTTAATGGGCGGGCGGAAAGAGGATAACTGGCAGTGGCGAGGAGAAGGAGAGGAGAGGAGGACAAGAGACGAGAAATTGTCCAGAATATTGGCCGAATTTGGGTGGCCGTGGGATTAATCGCCCGCACGGGGCAGCCGATCGGATGGAGGCGAAGGGAGAAAGGAGGCGGATAAGAGGGAGAGAGATGGGGAGAGAGGCGGATGACGAGGATGAGGAGAGAAAGGGTGGAGGGAATTACTCCAGCGAGAGGCGCCAGCAGACCAGTGGCATGTACCTACTGATTGCAGACGGCGAGGGAGGAGGAGGGAAACGGGGGGAGAGGATGAGGCGGAGAGAGAGAGGAAAAGAGAAGAGAAGGGGAGGAAGAGAGAGAGAGAGAGAGAGAGGACGAGGCGAGAATCATGGCCGTACAGAGAGTGCCTGGCCTGAGGCGCTCGGGGACGGGTATGGTACGTACGGTATGGTAAGCGAGCGGTAAAATATCGCTACCTATTGTACTATGCCCAAAGGGACTAAGGGACTGGTCCAGCGGTTCTGGTCGGCGATGGCGAGAGGCGAAAATGATTATAGGTACGAGGCTAATTCTAATTATTATTGTGAGGTATTATTATCCTTAGGACGGTGCCTGGTTCGTACCGAAGTCAAGCCATAATAAAGGGTCCAATATACGAGCAGATTGGGTTGAGAGGCGAAGTATCCTGCAAAAGATGGATGAAATCCATACCATCTGACTGAAGTCGATATGACGACCGAACAAGAGAAAGCAGGATATGACGATCCAGCTGGCCCAAAACAAGAAATCAAATCCCCTGTCCCGATTCCCCCTACGTCTGCTAGCGGTAGGCGGGAGAAGAGCGGACGGTTGGCGCTAGAGGGTGGGTTCTGGCCAGCGCGTATTAGGCGGTATTCTGTGGTCTTGGCCTGTCTTTACCAGGAGGATTGGATACCTAGTATGGAGTCAATGATAGATTGCAGTAGGTAGGTATTTAAGAGATACTGAGGATACGACCGAAGGAATAAACAAACCTCAATAACACTACGATAGACGGTCGAGTGTAAGGACCTCCAGGACAGTCGATGGGTATCAGATTACCACCAGACGGGCGGACAACCACGGGGCCTCGGGTATCAGAAGGGGAAATGGGGGTAAGGTATTGTCAACCATGGATCCCTCCTCAATTGACTTCTCTCAGGCTCGAAGAGTTCCAGAGAACAACTGTCTGCCTATGTACACCTGCATCAACTGATAGACCTCACCAATAATCGCCTGGCGCGTAGCTGTCAGCTCAACAACGAACTAAATCGGCTCGCCGTCGGCAGCAGTCGAGAGGCGTCCCCCCTGGGCCAATAACCATGCCGTCCCTGAGAGCTTTAATTTACTAGGAATGCATCGTCTGGCACCATCACGCCGTGCCTAGGTCCGTCCGCAACACCAGACGGTCTCGCCAATCGCTTCGTTCGGGTGGATGTCGGTCTGAAGAGATATATCGAATAATCAAGGGCCGTTTTACCGCAATTAAGGAGCTACGAGTCAATACTTGAACCGGCCTAGTGCTGTGGACTCCTGGATGGGTTTTGCTCTGGGTTTAGTGTTCCAGCGAGACTATCCTAGGTACCAGTACCTACCTACGATACCCTCTTATACCGTCATCGTTCATTCGATGCTCGATCTGTCCCTGTTTTCATCTGCGATCATGATGGAGTCTAGACTAGGCATCGCTTTGATCTGTCGGCGATTCTCTCCAAGAAAAGGATGATCGTTCGGATCATCATGCACTAAATCACTCGAGTTTTTAGTACCCAACCTTGCTTGTAAGGCAGCTGGAATTTTATTCCCCTGGAGGTAAGACCCCGAGCGAGCGAGCCCCATCGACCTAACCCTTAGTACGTAGATAGCGAGCTATCCCAATGATCAACCGTGTCTGGTTCTTGGCTGGAATCCGAGGCAACTTTTGATCACCGACGATTCAGTATGGTGTTCGAGGCGCTGTCTTTCTGTTTGTGTAGCCGGAGACTACATCCGCGGAGGTGGACGTCTTCTCTGGACTATTATTGATTGCACTGTACCTATGTTATTGATTCTAGTCAATTGCTCTTGGCTGTCATTGCTTTATATATTGTTAGCATATGGACTCCTCCGTAGTCTTTCATCAAGAACTGTACGGAGTAGATATATCTTGCCATGCATCTGAGATCTACGGCTTAGGTCCAATGACTACATCCCTAAATATATATCAACCTCACCGCCCAAGAACACCAACCGATCAATCTCAGGACATATTACAAAGATAACTCCATTGTTGGAACTCTCCACCTCATACCCCAATCCCTTACAGACTCGGAAAAACAACAGACACTGAATTCAGTAACCCCGCTCTCATCTATATTTATCCCACACAGCGTCCAAATAGGACTCTACGACAACATGACGTCCCTAGGGTATCCCGACGACAGCCCAAGTCCTCATCACTCTAAAGTAAACACAGGTTACTCTACCTGCAGGGCGTGATGCAGGCTCACCGTTGGGCGCATGCACCCGAAACGACGAGAAAAACAACACCGTGACAGTCGACGGCCCCCCCTCACCCCTCACCCCTCACAGCCCCTGCCCCTATCGCAGCCCATAAGTCATTGTGGACAAGGCTCCATCTGACACGTCCGAGACCCACCGGGCTATCGACTGCGTAGGGTGCCAGCAGAGCCGTCGAACCCGTCAGGACGTTTCCACGGCCTTTCGTCTGCGAAACTCCGTGCCATGCAATGCAGGGCTGAACGGATCCTAAGGCCCGGGTTGGTTATGCACCCCATACTGAGCCTGAGGGCGGTTGAGATCCGGTCTGGACGAAGCATCGACCGAAGGCAAGACAACAGGCAGTGAGTGTGTCTTCAGCGGACACGAAATACTCCTACGGTCAGTACGTAGATATCTGACTCGTTCGGTGGCGAGTGCTACGACGTGCTGTCGTGTAACCACGGACCAAGGCAGCCGATTCTGTCTAGAATTAAGTGCGCCGTACGCTGTCCAGGAGCGATACTCGCAGTCGCCGAGTCTAGCAGCGACGCTCAAACATGAGGTAGTACATCAAGCCACATAAGACGTAGGTAGTAATAGTAATAAAACATGACATGACATGGACAACAGGAGCTATCACACCTGGTCCTCCGGGATATCGGCCGCCTGGCTGCCGAGTTCTGCAGCAACGAGGTCCTGCTCGCCGTCCTCGTCCTCATCCATATCGTCTTCGTCGTCTTGATGTTCGTCATCGTCATCGTCGTCGTCGTCGCTGCTGGAGCCGCTGCCGTCGCTGTCGCCGTCGCTGCCGGGATCGTAGTCTTCCTCTTCCTCGTCTTCCTGGTCCTCGAGCTCCCGCTGCGCCTTTTGCAGCTCGCTCTCTTCTTCAGCAGTCTCATCGCCGTTGGCGGCAGCGGCGGCCTCCTCGGTCTTCCCGTTGATGTTATACCGCTTGGCGCGCCGTTCCTCGGCCAGACTGGCATCCTGCAGGCCGTGCGTCTTGATATAGGCATCAATGCCGCTGAAATCGGCCTGGTCGATCATGGAGAGCTCGAATTCCTGCGGCTCCCCCCCGGCGGTGGCACGCGCCATGATGTTCAGGTTGAAGGTCCGTTGCAGCACAGAGGTGTAGGAGACGGAGTCGATATTCTCAAACGCAAAGAAGATGAGCGGCTTCTTGAAGCCAAACAGGATCCCCGTAGACAGGAAGAACAGATATCCTACCCACCAAACACAGTTAGCCCCAGTTCAAACATCCCAATTGCTCCTCGTAGTCTTACCTTCCTTACTGCCGCGGAAGGCCTTGACGTGGTAGGCCTTCTCGCCCTTCCGATGCGCCTCCGGCATGGCACTCACAAACTCCCGATCGTCCGGCCGTATAACCTTGGTCTGCGTCAGGGCATCGTTCAACACCCGCAGCACCACCTTCTCTGCAGACTCGCCGCCGGCGCCGCCGGCAACCGCCTGGCCATTAATCGAGAACTCCGACTTGGGCGGTCCGTCCGCGACCGTCCACACGATCGACTCGGGTGCTGCCTCGCCGCCCGCCGGCGTGTTAATCCCGTCGCCGTTCTGGGGAATCACGCAGAAGTTGAACTGCCGCTGGTTTTTCTCCGGCACAGGAAGACACAACACATGCTCTATCCCACAAAGTCAGCTTTATCGCTCTCGACGATTCGCCTCACCCCTCCCTGATCTCAGGAACAACTCACGAATCTTCTCCACCGGCACGCCAAACTCCACCTCCTTCGACGTCTGGTTCCGCGCGCGCAGGAATCCGCCCCCGGCCGTGACCTCGAGCGTGAGCTTCTTCCGCTGCGGCATCGCAAAAGAGACGTCTCGCATGTGGAACTGCAACTCCGCGTCCGCTTTCAAATCGCCCAGCGACTGCGGCGTGCCGCTCACGTCGCCATTCTGGATCTTGCGCTTCTTCGCCGCGGGCCCGTCTGCGGACGCCTCGGCCGGTGGAGCGGTGGAAGTCGCATTCCTGGCCAGCAGGCTGGACGTGTATCGCGCGATGTCTTCGAAGAGTGGTATATACTGGGGAGTGGCGCCTGGCAGGAAAGTGAAAAGTTAGTTCGGGTTCACTAATTCGCCCGGAGATATCGGCTGCGTGATTGAGCGTTACACACCGATCGCGTCGTAGACTCGTTTCCTCAGAGAGGGCTCGGATGCAAAGGCATGCTCAATGGTGGGAATACTGCTCGGGGTTGCGGGAGGTATCGCGGACGAGTTTATCGTGGCAAAGGCCATAATGTAGACAGCCCCGGGGAAAATTCGATAGAAGCGTAGGTAAAGAGAAAGAAGGAAAGAATCGGGGCTGTGTGGAGGAGAAATGGAGGACGGGGATGGGGAGATGATGCGATGAGAACTTTCTTCCCCTGGCGGACGGACGGTTAGCTGGTTCCCGACAAATATCGCCCTTGGCTAGATATACATACGGTTTATCCAGGCCAGTGATTGCAAATAAGCAACCTTATGAGATACGAAAAAATTCTATTGTAATCTTATACAGTCATATTCTATGCTACAGAGGTACAATTGTATACACGCAGTAAAGAGAAGAAAAAAGTCCTAAACACTAGTCCAAATATACCCCGACCAGATCAAGCCCGCTTCGCCGCATTCTCCTTCATGAAACTCTCGATAAACCCGACCGTCTGATCATCCATGATCAGGTTGCCATCCTCGTCCTTCCGCGCGTTCAGCCGCTCCTGCTTGTTGGCCTGGATGCGGGCCATCAGCTCGCCCTTGGGCGTCAACAAAGACCTGCTTTGAAGGTATTCCTTTCTGTAATCTTCCAGCTTCTTCTGCTCCACCCATTCGGGATCGTGCCGCGTGCGGTACTTGGAGAACTTATTCCGCAGCTCATCCATGACACTAGGCGGGAAGGGTGCTGAGAGCAGCGACGGCATCCACGTCGGGGTCTCGACCTCCATCCGCAGCGTGTCCCACTCCTCGTCCTTGGTCTGCGCCGGTTCGCTGCGCGGCCATGGAATCTCGATGTCTTCGCCGGCGATGTAGCGCGTGTGTCGTGGGGTGCTAGTGCCGGGCTCCCGCTCCATGATGGGCTCGCCGCCGTAAACATGCTCGACCAGGACGTCGCGCGTGGTGCCGGTCGCCGGGTCGTCGAGGGCCACAACGAGTCGTACGTCGTCGATCGAGAGAGGGATGTTCATGGAGTGGAAGGGGGATTTGTTGCCGTACTGGGCGCCCAGCCATTCGGGCATGTACACGTCGGCCTGGAGGTCGTCAGCACACCTATACCGAAATTCTCCCGCGGAGTCCGCCAACATACGATATTGAGGTCCTTGACGGTCACCGTCTCATTCTCCGGGTCCACGCGGATGACCTCGTTGATTTTGCCCTTGTCCTTGCCCTTCATGACACACACCCGATCGCCAGGAGCAATGTTGATGTATTTTCTCCGGAGATGCTTCGGAATCGACGTCGGGCTCATGGCGTGCGGGCTCAGCGCGCCAAAGTATTTCCCAGACAGGCCGGCATCGCGCTGCGGAGCGAGCGGTCCGCGCAGCCAGTCCTCCCGGCGGCGTTGTCTCTCGTTGCGGACGTTATCGATCTCGATGCGGTTGTAGGCGAACTTGTTCCGGAGGTGGTCCTTCAGGTCCTCCCTTTCCGCCTTTTTCGTGGCCCTGATCGCTTTCCGCTGGGCCTGATTCCGGGCCAGAGCCGTTCTCCGAATGATCTTCTGCATTTTTGAGCGTGCGGTGCGGCAATGGCCGGTTGTCGTTCCGGTGGTCGCTGTGAGGCCGTGGTGAGCGGAAGGGGAAAATTGCGGCATCGCATGTCACGTGATTGAATAGCAGTGGCCAATAGGATGGCTGCGTACGTTCAATACGGCTTAACGAGAGGTACTGTTGAATGTACTGAATCCCTCTACAAATTTGCTCTAAATTGTCAGAGAGGAAACAGTATAGCCGCGTGCTTAGTACGTCTATGCGTGTGCATTGTTGCTATGCATCCATACCTGCGTTGAAGGTTGGGCTACGGAGGTGGGAACTATGAACAAAAGCCTGCGGTATCAAATTCCCTTTGAGCGTGATCCATGGCATATCTTTGTCAGTGTTGTGAGTTCAGCTCAGATGACAGAAGAACGCCACTCTGATAGGACAGTATGCATAGATCGTTTCAGCCGCAAGGCAGCATTCGCCCAGATGGCTGCTTCCGATGGGAGGAGTTTGTCGCAGACGAATCCTGCCGCAAGGAAGGTATCCTGGTAGGTTAAGAACCAGTGAGGCTGACAGGCTACAGCCATGCGCCCAACCTTAAGGGGAATGCGCCGTCTAGCACGAAGACGACTGGCTGACGCTGCTGGGATTCCTGCAGAGCAAATCGTCTGAGCATTGACAACAGGCCGGGATTGCAACAGCCATCCACTACCTCAGGCGTTTGATGTTCGTATTGCATGCCAGGTGGTCCAGCCGCCAAGACGCCCGGCAACGCCGACACGATCGCTCCCATGGTGAAACCTACTAGTATATGTCATCTGCGACTGTTGGAGGTGTTGGATGTGTTGGTCAACGCTCACGCGTAGCTGGTCTGTCCCCCACCTAGCCGTACGGGGTGGACATCGTTCGGCTTGGACAGCGGTGCCGGGTGAGATTGGCTTCTGTAAACACCGATCTGCATCTGTAATCGCACGCAAGGGTCGTTCACTGGCAAGAAAGCCTGGAGAGGGGGTGAGGCGTAAGTGGAGCTGTGCCGTCGGCGATTTGTTCAAGACAGAAGGCATGTCAGACGTGGGCGATTTGAACAGGTTAGGGTTCTGATTGACTGTTGCATCCACCGATTGTGGTCAATCAAAGCGCATTCCGAAGTTGGGGTCATTCCCAAGCTGCATGCTGGACCAACGATCACAGATATTGAATGAGACACACACGCTGGTACCTTTGGCGCTAAGTAGACGGTTTGTTGATCTGTGGCTGAGGTCCTCCGTGGTTTCGGCCGGTCATGTTTCGCGTAATTCGGGACGGGTTCTGTTCTGCGCTAGGATGTTGCTGCGAAGGGTACCTCGTGGAAGGGGAACACGCAGAAGGACGGAAGGAAGATGGGGATCATCCTTATGAGATCATGGATCACAGTGACGATGACGTCGGATGTTTCGATTTGAAAGTTGAAGGAGTTGCTGCCCCTTGGTAGTTAGGTAAGTACGTAGCTCAGTTCGATCGTGGTAAGGGGGTGTGGCGGAGCTGTGTGGAATTGCACCGCCATGGATATTTTTGGGACGACCCGTATTGCGGAAATCGATCCTCCATGACGAATGGATGGTGGGCGATCCATCGAGATTTGGACTGGGAAGCGGGGGGTATCTGGAGTTGTACGATAGTAGATACATCCTGCGTCTGTTGACGAGATAGAGCGTTCTGACATCTAGAAAGACCCTCGGTCGACTTTATAGGGCTGTTACAGAGAGGCCAAAATAAGCCCTTTCATAATAAGGATATTAAGGATAGTTAGTTACTCCGTACCTAAGTTTGACTAGGGAGAGATGGAGCCCTGACCGGTCCATCCGAGCACCCCAGAGGTGTCCATAAGCTTCTAGGCTCTTGACGAGCGGGATTGACGTGTCCACGCAATTGTTCCTTGGGAAGAGGTCGTACAGAAAATACTTACCTTACCTATCAGTATCGGAAATATGGGGCGTTTTCTTTCCCAGATGGCTCATCACCTTGGTTCTGTTCTTATACCACCCGTACAGTAGTAAACAGACAGGAGAGCCGTGGGGTCGGCAGTTCGTCTGCCCTGGTATTACGCGGCCAGCCACGGTGGCTTAATACCTAGCATGGTAGAGCTAGGCATCTCCATAACAAGTACCACTCCCACTCCTGGTCCATCAGAGAGGAATCAGAACATGTATGCACAATGATAATAGAATGTAGATAACTGATTAGATCTTTCAGTCGAAATAGAGATATTTACGTCATTAGAAGGGTCCCAACTTGTACCATCAAGAGACTCTTGCACAGCCACAGCTGGTGCAATGGATGGGTCGCTTGGACGTTTCACAGCCTTTTTGGCACGGTTAGTCAGGAGTGGTATGGTACGCGGTATAATGGAAACATACATGGCATGACATGAAATACCACATATACACCAATGAAATAGACCCTTTCTCATACCATACGCCCCCATACCGTCACGTACAGACAGAGAGATTGTGTCGGTCGCTTTCCACTCTTTTTCTTCTCTTCCCCCCAAATCCATCCAGAAAACCATCATAATAATAACAACACCATCTTCATCATCAACTTCTTCCCCCCCTACGACGGTTCATTATTCCTATTGTCCCACGGGAATCTCCCTTCTTTGCTCCTACACCTCACCTTCTATCTGGGTGCTTTGTTTCTTTCCTTTCTCTTTAGAAAGAACTCTTTCGTTGTACTTATAATTTTTTTTTTCTTATCTCTTCACTCCTCCCTGTCACTGTAGGTGATAACTTACTTAACCCTTTTCCCTCGGGCGCCTGACTTGTCCCTTCCCTCAACCTCCCTCCGCCCATCCATCACCACCTCTCCTCCAACGTCCCTTTTCAACCACCCTCTTACCCATCACCACCACTACCACTACCATCTTCTTCACCTCTTCGCACTTCCTCATTGTCTTCTTTGTATCACCATTTGGCTGATCCCCCCTTTCCTTCAAGATGTCCGAGATTCGCCGCAAGCTGGTCATCGTGGGTGATGGTGCCTGTGGTAAGACTTGTCTTTTGATGTAAGTGTCTCGCTCTCATCTCCTTCCCCTCTTCTCCCTTGGATCCTCTGTACTAATGCCTCGTCTCGATCAGTGTCTTCTCCAAGGGAACTTTCCCTGAGGTTAGCTGCCGCCCCAGCCCCTATCCCCTCTGACCGACATCTCTTACCTCCCCCCCGATCGGTTATGGGGCCTCCTCTATCACTTGATTCATATCAAAACTCACCTCTTCCTCTCTCTAGACATACGTCCCCACCGTCTTCGAGAACTATGTCGCCGATGTCGAAGTGGATGGCAAGCGCGTCGAGCTCGCTCTTTGGGATACTGCTGGTCAGGAAGACTACGACCGTCTTCGCCCTCTCTCTTACCCCGACTCCCACGTCATCCTGATTTGCTTCGCCATCGATTCCCCTGACTCTCTTGACAACGTCCAGGAGAAGGTGAGCCTTCCATCGGGTTGTATCGATGAACGACCCAGACCTCGCCACCGAATAAACAGATGGCTAACGGATACCCCACCCGCTCTAGTGGATTTCCGAAGTCCTTCACTTCTGCCAGGGTCTCCCCATCATTCTCGTTGGATGCAAGGTCGATCTCCGCAACAACAGACAGGTGATTGAGGAGCTCGCCAAGACCTCTCAGTCCCCCGTCAGCGAGGAGCAGGTATGGCACTGCTCGACCCAATGTGACTGCTATCGAAGCTGGTGCTAATCTCCTCCCCAGGGCAAGGACGTCGCCAAGAAGATCGGTGCCTACAAGTACCTCGAGTGCTCCGCACGAACCAACGATGGTGTCCGTGAGGTCTTCGAGTCCGCCACCCGGGCCGCTCTCCTGACCAAGACTCACAAGAAGCCTCACAAGTGCACCATCCTGTAAACTACTCTTTGATCTCCCTCGCAAAAGGACGGTCTGTTTCATGCGGTGAATATATGAATGGACCCGCGTCGCGACTATTTGGTTTTCTTACTCAGAAGGGGTCTCCCGTTGGCGTGTTCCGATTTTTCTGTGCCTGGATGCGAGTGTGGATAATGTTCAATCACGGGCACATGAGGTTTATGGGATTATCTGGCTGTGCAGTTGGTCGACTTCTTATTTTTGCAGACTTATTTTCTTTTTATTTCTAGTGAGGCGTTGTCTTCATAACCTTGTGGGTTTTGTTCTCTATTCCAGCTCTACATAACGCCCGCGGGCCAGTTTGATCACTACAGCAAAGATTTCTGATTCCTCGCGCGATTACGTTTTGTAGACGGGAAGTTAGTCAACCAGACCAGACAATGGGCAAGATCTTGGTGTCTCTAGACCGACTAATAATTGAGCTTTTTGCGCATGTCATTTAGATACCAAACCTGCAGACAAATACTGGCCTACTATCTATACACTATAAAATATATTTAGTCCCCAAATCTAAGAAGACCAACATAGCTAAGGACTACCGGAACGGGCTTTGTATGTGATTGACGAGCATCATGGCTGCAACAACAACAACAAAAACAACAGCGCCAACAGCCCGCAAAAGACAATTTGACCGTCGAGAAATGCAAGCATCACTGGTGAAGCGGTCCCGCATACATGATCCACACCATGGCCTGCCCACCCAGCTACCGCGAGAATCCCTCTCCACTGCACAAGGTCAAGCTGATGTAGTTTTCGTACGAGCCAGAACCTGACAATCTCTTGGGACCTCATAGGAATCTGCTTGCGCTGCGCGGGCACATCAAGAACCAACCTACCTCTTCGGAAATACAAGGCCCAGCGGTGCACCAGACCATGCCGAACGAGACTGTCAAAGTACGGTTGGCGGTCGATGGGCAGTCGCAGAAGCTTGGGGTAGAATGTATCGGTGGTGTGCAAAGCCATCACCAGGGCATCAAACACTGGGCCCCATTCAATGGCCGAAAACTTCGAACAGATCAGGTGAAATATGGGTTCCGCGAGATAACGCTGGTCGCTCAGCGCCGCTATGACTATCTTCGTGGAGACCTCGTCACCAGCCATAATGTACTTTGTGATTGCCTCCGCTATGGGGGACAGTAGTTGAGTCGACAGGGTGTCCTTCTTCTGGTGGCGAAGCACACTTGCTGCGTATTCGACCTGATATCGGTCTCCCAAGAATCGGGCTCTGGGACAACTTCAGCAAGCCGAGCGGCTTCCCAGGCAAAGGTGGGAATGTTGGCTCCGTTGAGGACTTGCTTGACAGCAGTCTGGCATAGCGCCCGTAGGGCCTCCGACTCGCGAGCATCTAGCGTGTTTTTCTGGAGACGTTTGATAAGCTCTGAAATTCCTGGGGGCCGAGTGGCAGCAGGATAGTATTGTGTTGTCATGTTATATGCGTAGGTAGTTCGTGGGCGGTAATCATGATTATGGGAGGAAGGAAGAGTTGGGGGCCTTGATTAAAAGAAGGCCGTATTTGGGGACGAGGCTGAAGTTCCAACAAGACGGCGCCTGCATAGTTGCAGCTTGGGCATCGTTATTGGCCTTAAAGCCTGGGATTGAAGCACAGCCCCCGTCGTTAAATAGCGTGGCTTAGTCCTGTCATTCACCCTCTCGTTGCGATTACCACGAGGCGCCCGACAGACTGAGATCCTAGATTCATGAATTTAGTCAGTAGAAGACTGCAATGTGTTGGGAAATTCAGGTAAGATAGAGCATCGCGATTCATCGTCTTTGCATCTGTTACCCTGGAGGATTTGGCACTGTATGACTTTGTCGCTGACCAGTCCTGCCGCTTGCGACAATGTACCATAGCGGCATGACATCGGGAATCTTGATGACTGCTCATCAAATAAGAATATATTGGTATCATCTATTTAAGCTCAATAAATTCTCGATATATCGTCGTGCATCTAGGCCCAAGCCCTCGACCAGCTTGGCTGGCCCGGTATCGGTACGGGACGAACCAAGACCCACGCCGCCTAGATCGCGGAAGAATTGAGTTCCACTGCTGTTGCGAGTATGGGAAGACGGGGGAATGTGGTCGCTTGCTTTGCGGATCAGAAACGCTTCCTGGCGCGGATCGTCGGTTCCAACACTAGCAGCTCCGCTGTCCTTCTGGTCGGCTGTGCCTGCATTTGCCATTCGCACCCAGACAACCCACCAGCCACGGCTGGTCTTGCAAGTTCGCTCAAGCTCTAGCGGGCGGGAGCGGGTCTCGACGAATGTGCTGAGAATTCGATGGTGAATATTGAGGCTCTCAACCCGTGACCAGGGCGGAGAGCTTGAGCCATGATTGCCCAGTGGCTCGGGGCCTAGATCGGGAATGTTAGGAATCGAAGATCGGATGGTTAGATTGGATGGGTCGTAGACTAGATCATAGACTGGTTGAGTTTGGGGGGCGACGAGTTGGTTGCCATCCGTGGTCATCTCAGATTCTGAGATACGGGTCGCAGCGTTTGCCGGGGAGGTCGAGTGGCTCAGGGGCTTTTGAAGAGGTCCAAGTTGGTGGTGGATGGTGTGATAGAGAGATGGGTCGGCCAGCGACGGGGTCTCTGGATCAAAGAGAAACGTGTACATGAACGGTTGATTCTGTTTATTTTGTCAGTTCCTGCTAAATGGTTCAACATAAAAGATAGTTGCTTACAACGTATACTACAGTTCGCAGTTTAACAGGATCTGGCGCAGTGTAAGCTACCAGCAGTCGTACCAAAGCAGGCATTCGAAACCCAAGATACTTACCTGTGATATCCTGATCGGAAGTATATGGGTGAACATGTAGCGTCCTTTGCGTTATCACTTCGTTAGACTCCGTAGGAATATCGTTTGTCACCACGGGCTCTTCCACGGACTGCCCATCGGGATTAGACGTGTCATTGAGGAGGCCGATGAGAAAGTTGCCTCGGTCCTTGGAATGACTGGTTTTCTTGATGAGAGTCATCCCTTGATCCCCAGGCGGGTCACCTTGACTGTCTCCTCCGGAAGGTGACTCTTGCTTCAAGGCTTCAACGCGGGGATGTGGACTGGGTGATTCAGATGAAGGCCCCCAACTGGAGCCATAACCAAGCGTGAGGTACTTCACAAACGTGTCTGTTCTGAATGGCATCCAGTCGCTCCCTCGCTCGCTTCTTGCTGGGGAGCTCTCACTGCTTTTAAAGGAGCTTCCTTGCCCATCCGAACCAGAAGCGACCTGTGAGGATTGTGTGCCTCCTACCACGAGTGGACGAGGAATGCCTGGGGAGAAACCACGGTCTGGGCTCATAGCCTGTGCATTATCCGAGAGGCCAGAAGCGCCGTCAGCATCTCTTCCAGCTCGGCCTCGTCGTCTCCGTCGCTTCCGCCGTCGGGGCGAGGTTGGATCTTCGCCAACTCCGTAGGCTTCAGTTCCGTACCGATATATCAATTCCATCCACTGAGTTATATTGGCCACAGAGCGTCGAGAGATGCCACCTACCCCCGAGAATATGACTCCGTCTGATGGTCGAGGGTAGACGTCCAATCCCAGCCACTGGTCTCCTTTGGGAGGTTGACCTGGGAGCCCCCTAGCCTTCTCTTGCTCAGGCATATATGGATCACCAAACCTGGAAACAATCAGATCCACAAGGCCATCTGTCCGAGACACAAAATCCTCAAGGACTTCTCGTTCTCCGCTTCCCCACTCTTCTTCACCAACGCCGACCCCGAGCTCACCCCCGGCGGAGAGTTTTATACCGTTATACATGTCAATAGCTGGGTTTCCGCTCAGGAGAACCTCCCAGTTCCATGCGAATTTCCGCCAGTAACTATCAAGGATGGTGCAGAAGGCGGGCCGGCCAATCCGTTGGTACATAGACTCGAGGGAGAAATCATGATGTAGGAGGAACGTGGAATGAGCTCGGCGTAGCTGCTGGATCAGGAGATGCGGAGGGCACATTTCTCTCGATGAATAATGATACTGGGGGGCATCGGAAATATTGCGCTGCGAGGAAGGCGCCTTGGAGGAGTCGGCAGGAAGTCGAGTCATGTCGACTAACTGTTGATATTGAGCACCTATTGGGATAGATTGGTCCGCAGCGGCACTTACAGCCAAAATCCACCAATTTTCTTCCAATTCATGCAGGATGATATGGGATTTGTCTGTCTCCACATAGTCCACTGACTTTCCCTCCGAGAAGTTTCTGTCTTGACTGTTCAGCGCAGGTCCGATGCAGTGATAGGAAGAGGGGTTGAAGGGCTCTCCCACCTCGCAAAGCTCACTATCCCCTGCGCGAGACCTATCTGGCGCAGCCTCTCATTCCACTCATGATTGGAATCTTTCGCCTCGTCTCCCACTGTGGAACTCTCGCGTCGTTTCAGCAGATCGGATCTTGATGTATAGAAAACGATCTGGTCTTGTATCGTTTCGTCCGTTGGTCCGAGGAGAGGGTTGTAAATGGTGAGAAACGCAAGTTGCGCAGGAATTACCGACGCAAAGTCGCTCTCAGGCATCGCATCGTCAGTCTGTCAGCCTCCGCTCACAGCGCACACTTGCGACACTCAGGTTGGAAGATCATCTGGTTGATCGGGCGTGGTTTCTGGTGCGGTGACATCACGTGGGGCGCAGTTGTTTTGGCTTTCGGCGAGCTTTCCGGAGCTCCATCGTTGTCTCTTTTCGCTGCGCGCGACACCATGTTGTTTTCGCGAGGACCTGGAGTCCTCTGCACGTATCGTCAACCCGGAGTTTTTCCTTTTGCCCGCCGGTTCTTTTCGACGAAATTGTACGAGCCCCTGCGGATTCTCTTCTGTGGATCCGACGAGTTCAGCATAGCTTCGCTGAAAGCGCTCCACGAGGAGCATGTGAAACGACCCGATCGAATTTCATCAATAGACGTTGTTTGCAGACCAGGGAAGAGAGTAGGAAGGGGTCTGAAGAGGGTCCGAGAGGGTAATTGATCCCTGGACTACTTTCCGATTGTCACGTTGCTCATGGCATTGTTTCTCATAGTCCCTATCAAATCCGCTGCGACACAACTTTCCCTTCCGATCCATGAGATAGATACGTTCAAAGGATGGACGGTAGTTCACAGCCCTGTGCTTCATACAACGTTGCCACTAACGCTCTTAGCCCCCTGAACTGCCTGGCGGTCCGATAAACCTGATAATAGCTGTCTCCTTCGGCTTATTCGTACCTCCGCGGATCCTAAACGGCGCAAAGTATGGAGGATTGAACGTCCACCCTTCACTGCTCCCTGAGTACGTTTAAACTCCCGAGTGGAATTCCAGGGCGTGCGTCTGACTTTCCGAACCACAGCTTTCGTGGACCCGCGCCGCTGCACCATACACTCTTAGCCGGGAGAACGACGACCGGTGTTACGCTCCAAACTCTGCACCCTAAACATTTTGATCACGGCGCAATTCTACAGCAGACCCCGCCTCCTGGATTCGATATACCCAACCCCGAATCTTGTACTGTACCGGAGTTGTTGAACATTGTTGCCCCCCAAGGGCGCGGAAATTCTCCTAGAGGGTATCCGGAAGGGACTGTTCGTCCCTCCCGTAGAGAATGCGGGCTGGCGCTCATCGGACACCAAGGGGTCGCTGATTCATGCGACAAAAATCACACCCGAGGACAGACACGTTGATTGGGCAAACTGGTCCTGGATAGAAATCAGCCGGCGAAACCGTGTGATTGGACCTCTGTGGAGTAGAGCGCTGGTCGCCAACGGTCCTTCTCACGAGTCTCAGTCGTTTCAATACCGGAGAGTGATATTCACGGAACTGGAGGAAGTTTCCCCGCTTAAGGGCAGTGATTCTTTTGCTCTTGTTCCGGGATTGCCCTTCGTGGACGGCCCCGCCCCGGTCGAGCCCACTCATGGTAGAGGCATATACATCTTTACAAGAGATGGAAAGCTTCTTCGTGTGCACGAGATGAAGGTGGAAGGAGAGCAGAATGCGGACGCCCTTCGTGCTGCGCTCAAGGCTCGGATGGTTGGCGAGAAGACTTTCACCTCTGGTGCTTCTCAGTTTACGCCGTTCTATAACCCACTTCAATGAAATTGGGACTAATTCCACCGGAACATTTGTTCAACTAACATAGTGTCTCCATTACAAAGGGCCTCTGAGGAGCGGTGGGGTCGTGCCTGATGGTAGGCCCGTTATCCCGACCCGGCCAAACAGTTACCGGATCTTATTCTATTTGATTGCAAAGCCGGAGTCTGTGCAATTAGCTTTGCTTTTGACGGCAACCTTGGGGGAAGCTTACCAATTTGTATCCCTTGGCCCGTCATAGAGGCATTCTTAGCGAGCATGACGAACGCATTGGCGGTATCCTCGACTTCGGGCTGTGTATCATGTTAGATCATGGGTCTTATTGAAGGCCTGGAGATCCGTACCACACTGCCAAGAACAGCCTTATCTTTGTATGCTTGAATCTTTTCGGGTGGGAAACGTTGGCCCTGGCACTAGTTTTAGCCCGGTTGATCTTTCGAAGCGAATTGTGAGCAGTGGCGAACAGTCACGACAATACTTACCCATTCAGTGAGAAGAAGTCCGGGCAAGACCGCATTCACTCTGACTTTCCTCCCTTGGCTTTGTGCCAGACACTTAATGAGATGCAGGCCTAGTGCTTGTCAGCACGATCTGGCATGTTGGATGAAGGTATGCTCACCTGCTGCCTTTGTCACAGCATATGGCAGGCTGCTTCCACTGGCTGTGACAGCCTAGAATGACATCAGCCTCAGTGCATAGCTTGGCTCATTCTTGGTATGTTACCGCAGTCGATGAAGTCAGGAGGAATACACCACCGTCAGGATTCGCATTGAAGGTGGGCAAGGCCTCCTTGAAGAGGTAGAAGTGACCCTTGACATTGGTAGTCCAGCACTATCAAAGTTAGTTTGGCGAATGGATATGGTGGCGCCCCAGCCGTTGGATTGTATACCTTGTCCCAATCATCGTCGTCCATGGCGTCCAGATCCGCGAAGTTGGTCATTTTGGTCCAGCCCTTTTGCCGACATCAGTAACGTGTCCCCAGACTTCTCGAACGGCCCGTGGGGTGCGGTTGGCTCACCGCGTTGGATACCACGATATCCAAACCCCCAAGCTGCGCAATTGTCGTCCGAACGGCATTGATGCAATCATCTTTGCGACTCGCATCCTGGAGCCCGAAGCCATCAGCATTTGTACCTGTAGAGATGATAGGTGGACCTACACCTTGGACCGTGATCACTTTCACTTTGTATTGAGCCTGGAGCTCGGAAGCGAGCTTCTCAGCAGCATCTTTGCTTGACATGTAGTTGATGGCAACATTGCAACCTTCAGCTGCAAATTTCTGTGCCACGAGGGCTCCCAATCCCCTGACCCTGGTTAGTCCTGGGCATTCGGGACAAGGGCCGGGTACTTACCGAGAGCCCCCAGTGATCAGGGCATTACGATCGCGCAGAGAGTACGACATGGTTGTGAGATCTCCAACTCAGGATACAATCCAATATGAGCGAGAAAGAAATGCTACAGGAGGGAACCGAAGTATTGTGAAGGCCTCCAATTCGAGCGGGGTAATTGGGGTTCAACGGGCTCGGGTTTGGCGGAGAGTCCGACGTCTCCCCGACGTGTTATCATCCCCAACTATCAGCAAAGTGGTTGTGGCGGAGCTAGATCTACCACCGACGGCCACTCTGGCCACTCGCTGATGCCCATCTCCTGAGACCACCGACAGGGTGGGATTCTGACATGAATTGGAGAGTGGAATGAAGCCGTGGGCCTCGGCATCTTTCCCTGGTCCCACTCTATACAGACTCACTGGTGGCTAGCACACGATGATACCTAGGTAGTTCAAACGAGACCGAGACAATTATAACACTCCGCTATTCTAATCCACTATCGTACCTACGTACTCCGCTTTCCTCATGCCCCTCCATGCTCTCTTCCCTTCCAGTGCAGGCCATTGGACGAGGAATCGGTCAGCAAAAGGCAGCAAGAGCTTCCCCGAGAGACTCAAGGTCGTCACCCGCGCCCATGATTCTACAAATATGGTACGAAGCTGATAAGTCTCCGGGGTTACCGCATGTCCTTGCGACGCTTTTTTGGCACTGGTCCCTCCATATAGATGGTCTCTATCCGAAACCAACGAACCCAAGCAATGATACAAGCGCAGCAGCCTCGCAGCCAGAATGACACAAACTGCCGTGGCCGGGCCATTAGTAAGAATGATGTCTGGATAGGGCGAGATAGCCTGTGGAGGAGATCGGTTCTGGTCAGGATGACGGCCTTGTAAGACCAAAAGACAGGACCAGAAGGATTGGAGAGTGGAAAACGGCGTCGTCAGGTAAGACTGGTGGACGCGACGGGCGCGGGGCACTGTGGCAATGGTATACGAATCTTCGCCGTCCGTATTGTCTGCTGACGCTGGGTGGCGGCCATTGAGATACTCTGTTTCAAATTCCACGGCTTTGGCAGCACTGAAATTGTCCCCCGAGCTGACAACGTAGGTCCGATACGTGTATTTGGACGGGTCAAGCTTCATGCGTCGTAGCATGGAGAACATTTCCGCGGTATGTCCTCCGCTGCCGAGAACGACCAGGAGATGTGTAGGGGTGTTTCTGGCGCGCCATTTGGGTATCACGGTGTTTTGGGAGGTAGAGAGCGCATAGTGGAGGAGCTGTAAACAATTGATATCAGTATTTTGGAATGGTTTGTATGTAAGCCCGTATGTTAGGTGATTTACCAAGACTGCAGATAGGCATAATCCAACTCCCGCTGCGAGGAGAAGCAGCAGGGACAGCGCCATGAGTCCCGTGACCGACGAGATATGACGTTGTTTTGGGGGAGTTCCTCCTTTCAAGAGGACATAGTTCGGGATTGAGACAAAGAACAGGAAAGATCCTGACTATCCAGTCGAGAACGTCTGCATTGCCAGCTTTCTTGGAGGTTGCGTAGAGAACCTGAGGCGCTGATGGGGCACGTGGTCCGTGCGGCTATCGGCGATTATTTTGCTGTTGTTGTCTTAACTCCTTCCCGCTCCTTCAGGACGATTTTCTCATCCATCGCCATCAATGTCCCGCATCTTGACATGACATGGCGCCTCTATTTGCCAAACGTCTAAGCTGTTTCTACTGCGGCCAACGCACTGTCCAGACGCAGAAAGGAGCGGTCCGCAAGTGGCGCTGTCCGCATTGCGAAGCCATCAACTATTTGGACGAGGTAAGGCGGACTGTATCATGTTTCGCGTGGGGTCTCCCCGTGCTAACAACCATCGTGCCGACGATAGAAAGGAGAAATTACAGATCCTCCGGCAGCTGAAACGAACCCCGATGTGTATGGACCCGACGCCTCGAGCCCGCCGTTTGAGACGGCCGACTTTACCGGCTCCGGACTGTTTTGCGCGCAGTGTGTCCGCAATCAACATCTATTCACGAGTGCTTTAGCGTCATACTTTCCCCCGACCGATGACCCGAACTATGCCGCTTATGAACGCGAATATCCGAAGTTCCGTCAGAACCTGGAGGAACGCTATCCTCAGGTATGCGTCAAGTGTGAACCTCGGGTGCGAGACCGCATTCGTCAGGCGGGATACGAAGCCAAATCGGATCATCTGCGACGGATGATGGACCGGAGTAAGGCGGGCCGCGCCGCAAGGCAAGCGCGAAACTGGAATTGGAGGAGTCTGCTGGTGTTCGCAGGTGCGATCGGTTACTGGACGAGTATTGCTGGCCAATTTTCCTGGAACATGTGGTCTGCCCTGGACACAGAAGATGCCTTGCGAGATCCTGATGACGCCGTGAAACCATTCTCTAGAGCCTCATGCGTTCATCAGGTCCTGGAAACGCGTCGTGTGCCTGCAAGTTGCTCCGTGGACTTGGCCCCCTATGCTGGTTTAGCCTTGGTTGCGGGCATTCTTTCTATATGGTACAATCCTAAGCTGCGGCTGAAGGTCGAAGGGAGAGGCGGCCGTTTTGTTGGCCTTGGGGAATATTACAAGGTACAGCTCATCGTCATGGTGGTCCGATGCGCCTTCTGGGGTGTGATGAGAGATCCTTCGTCGAGTGGGCTGGAGCCTACATTACCACCTGCTCTGCATATTTTTATGGTCTTCTTCACGATTCTAGTAAGTTGTCACGACATCTTCCTATAATTTGTGGCGAATGCAAGTGCTTACAGGACTAGTCGGTTATCATTTCTCGGCGCATTGTGAAGTATGACACACGTCCTCTGGTGGTATGGAACGAGGACACACCAGTGTCCACACCGATTCAAAAACGCTATGCCTCGCCTGTGCAGACTACAGGTCAGAAGCAATCTTTGTCTACGGCGTTCGATCCTCTCCCACGGCCCAGCCCTCGTTTCCCCCTAGAGAAGCTCGCCAGCCCTCGCGCTGCTCCACAGGAGCAGTCAATCCCGACACCTCCCCCCGAGGGCGAAGGTGGTGACATGGATTGGACTCCTTCCGTGCAGCACGTCCAGCGCGAAATCACACCCACAGTAAGCGTTCATCGAAGGGACCAGAAATCCGTTCTCGACGGGCCTCTACCATTTTACGGATCTCTGCCCGCTGCCCCGGTGCCGCCGTCATGGAACCTGCGCAGCCGACCAGTCCAACGGCCGAAGCCCATCGAACAGGTTGTGGAACGTAACCCTTTCCATCGTACACCCACCCAGGCGTCGAATTCATGGGGAAGGGCTTCTGGTCACTCGGATGTCTCTTTCGCACCGCCCAAGTTCTTTCCTATGAGTGATCATGTTGCGTCTACTGGGTTGGAGAGCCTGTTTGACCGGACTTTCACTATCAAGTCGCCCGAAGACGAGGAGCCGAACAGCTACCGTTCACAGCAGCGGCCAGTGGACACACATCCTCGACACTCGACTGGAATGCAGCGCTTTTTCATCTTTCAGTATCTTCGATTGGGGCTGCTTATAGCCTCGATTGCGGCTTGGGCTCTTTCACAGCATGGGCATCTTTCACTCCCGGGAAATTACATCGAGGTAGCTTCCCTGGGCAGCGCTAGTCTTATCGCTGGATTTGCTTTGCTTGAAACGTTGAAGCAGCCCATCGCACAGTGGAACGGGATGGAAATTCTGGTCTACCTTGCTGAGCTTGTTGCAGCCGTGCATATTGGGGGTAATCTCCCGCGCGTGTCGTTCGAGCGCCAATACTTTGACCGGTACGGGAAGCTTCTCTTGGTCTTCATGGCCGTGCAGGAGGCGTTAACACTGCTTAATTTGTATCGATTTGTGTCAAACGCCGCCAGTCCCCAGGAGCAGTCGCACCGACCCGGACCTTCAAACGGAGACCCCGGAAATACCTTTAGGGCTGGGCGTGATAGTCGAGACCTCCAGTCGTTCACCACTCAGTCCTCCGCTCCGGCCTTGTCCTTCTCCTCAACCGCCGCTGGGTCGAGTTTTACGATGCAGACTCCGGAACCACAATATCGGACGGCTTTTCCGACTTTTGATAGCGGGTTCAACCGGGACCATAGCTTCAGCCTGAGCAGTCTGAAGGACAACGAATCCGATGTGTCTGATCCATTGGATCGCGATTCCGACACTGAAACTACCATGACGACAGCCACCACGGCTACGAATAACACAATCCATAATATCCGCTACGGGAGGAACCCCAGCGATACATTTTTCTCTCCGAAGCGGTCCGAGCTGGGTCCCGGACTGGGCGGCCTGAGTCTGGACGACGGACCACGACGTGTGACCCGGAGTCAGAGCCAGAGAATGCATGGTTCTGATGGGGCGCGGCGGATGCCCAGAGTGCGGTGATTGGATTTGGCGTTGTTTTTTTCGGTTTTGTTTGCAGGTGCAGTATGGGTTAGGATGGGATAGGGTGTCGGATCTGAAGGTTGATGGGCACTGGTTGGTTATTTGCATTGTGGCGTGGGCGTGTACAGCGTTCGTTTTTGACCTCTTGCATGTATATGCTTTAAGCGTTGCTTTGTACATAGCCTGAATATACGACTTACGAATGACCAAGTGATCGACTCTTGTCTTAGGATTACGATTGACCGCCTAGAGAACTTTTGCTGTCATTATGCCTTCAACTACATCGATTCACGCATAGCATTAACATAGTTCAATCGAACCTCCCATTCTCGATACAATAAAAGTTCAGCACAAGCCGCACTAGACTCTTTCCACTCGAATTTCCTCCTGCTTACCGTCACTCTCCACGACTCCCCTCTCGGGATCCGCATTCTTCTGGTCGATGAGCTGAGTGACGCCGAAGAGCTCGTCCATCTTCTCCAGCGAGAGGCCTGCTAACGTCAGCGGATGCGGTGGGTCAGGGCAAGACATGTACATACCCTTGGTATCGGGGATGAAGAACCAGACAAAGACGCCCATGGAGAAACAGAAACAAGAGAATATAATGTACGTCCTGAGCGTGTCAGCATACTACAACATCAAGCACAAGACAAGATACTCACCCGTAGCCGTTGGCACCGACGGTAGCCAGCATATTGGGCACGGCGCGGGCGACGACAAAGTTGAACAGCCACTGGGTGGCGGCGGCAAAGGCGACGTTCAGCCCGCGCAGACGCGCCGTCGGAATCTCAGACACGTAGATCCAGCAGACGGGCCCCCAGCCGAACTGGAAGCAGGCGGCGAAGAGGAAGATGCAGACGAGGGCGACGTAGCCGGCGGGGATAACAGGCGCGCCCTCCTTGGGCGGGGCGATGCGGACGTACAAGCCGATGTACAGCATGCAGAGGGCCTGGGCGACGGAGGTCCAGAGCAGGGAGCGGCGGCGGCCGAGCGAGTCGGCGACGAAGACGAGGAAGACGGCGCAGCCGACCATCTTGACGATGCCGTAGACGCCGGTGGCGAAGAGGTTGGTGGCGTTGCCGGTGACGCCGAGGTTCTTGAAGATCTGCGGGGCGTAGTAGTTGATGGCGTTGGTGCCGGTCATCTGCTGGCAGACCATGAGGAAGATGCTGATGAGCGCGCGCTTGCGGTTGCCGGGGATCGTCCACATCTCCTTCATGAGGTCCCAGGGGCCGGACCCGCCGACGAGCTGGCGCTCGTGCTCGAGCTGCGTGACGATGTCCTGGAACTCGTTGTCAACGTAGGGGTGCGTGGCGGGGAGGGAGCGCACGCGCGCGAGCGTCGCCCGCGCCTCCTCCCACCGGTCCTGCTTGGCCAGCCAGCGCGGCGACTCGTTGCACAGCATCATGCCGATGAAGAGGAGCACCGCCGGCAGCGCCTGCATCGCGAGCGGCACCATGTACTGCGCCGTGCCCTGAATGTGCAGCAGGCTGCCGTAGTTGATCCAGAAGGCCAGCATGATGCCCATCGTGATGAAGAGCTGGTAGAGGCCCGTCAGCCCGCCGCGGATGGCGCGGGGGGCGTTTTCCGAGACGTAGAGCGGGTTGACCATCGAGGCGAACCCGACGCCGAAGCCGTTGATGAGGCTGTCACGGTCAGTGAGCTGTATGTCCGTGTGTGGATGGGTGCAGGGTGCGACTCACCGGCCAATGTACATGGCTTCCAGGTGTCCCTCGGCCGCGACCTGCATGATGACTCCTACGATGGAGATGAGGGATGCGGAGATCAGACCGATTCGGCGGCCCCATTTGTCGGCGACGGCGGACGCAATGAGCGCGCCGAAGAAGCAGCCTGCTTGCAGGGTGGAGACGATGTTGGCGGAGAGGTTGGCTTGGGCGACCTTGCCGCGGGTATCCAGGCCGTATTTCCTGTTGACGGTCAAAAATAGGTAAAGGCGAGGGAGGAAGATGAGAGGCATACGCCATGAATGGCTTCATAGTGAGGACACCGCCAATAATGCCGGTTTCCATGCCGAACAACATGCCACCGAAGCATGCCTGCGTCTGTCAGCTGTATGTCTTGGATGAAAGGCAAAGAACTGACCGAACAGGCCAAAGCCCAGACCCTCCATCCGTAAATCTCGGGAGGGTCCGTTCTCATCGCCTCATTGTGGACGAGCTTTCTGAGGATGAACGCCATGTTGCTTGATGATGGCTTCTTTTCTTGCCGTGGCGGGCCTTTATAGCAAACGATGCCGAATAGCGCGGATCGAATTTAACCGGACACAACCCCAGATGAACCGAAGGAAGATACCGCTGCGTCGTGGACCTGTATCAGGACGGTATGTGAGATGGTGTCTAGGCCAGCTAGAGACAGCAGCAGGTCGGACGATGTGAGACAATCCCCCACGCTCAAGGGAATCAGCTCAGATTATATGATGGATGGCTACTCCTACAAGAGCAACCACCCTCTGCGGAGAACACCATTCATCACAGCCGTACAAACAGTCGGCTACTGCAAAAGTCGGCTATTGAGAAAGCAGATGACTCGCCCCCCGGAGAAACAAGGCGAGACGGAGGCGTGAATAATCCCACGAATCCGCGGATACGAGAGGGAGCTAGCTGGGCCGTTATCATGCTGACCCCCCTGGCAGTCGTAGCCAAGAGCGACCAAGAGGCGAGAAGGAGGATCTGATCCCGTTGCAGCTGGGATAAGGTCAGCGGGGCGAATGGAGACGCCGGATTTAGACTCACGCGGAGAGAGCCCTAGTTTGCGGGGAATCTCATTTAGCCAGATTGCCGCTATGGATGTACTGTAATTACCCCGACTTGGCTGGATGGCGTGGGGGAGACTTCAAGATATCAGGATGGTGGTGCACGGGTGGTCAGTGGCTGTGAATTGTTGAGAGGAATCGTTCCCAAGAGCTCAACGTCGAGAATCTCCACAAATGAATCAACTCCCAAAGAATGGAATAATAGATCCAGAGTTTAATATAGTCGACAGGATATAGCCGAGGTTGACGCAGGGCATACGAGCCTCGCCAGTTGGTGGATAGCACTCGGTATGATGAATGTCAATATAACCTCGCATTGACAACCCTCCTATCCTAATTCCGGTATACACTACTCCATCCTCTTCTTTAGCCACTCAGGAATCCCCGGACTCTGCTCCCACTTCGCCCTCCATTCATCCGTCCAGCCATCATTGCCCTCCGCAGGCAGCGCAAACACCGCCGTCACGAACCACCGCTGCGTCCCAGCCTTGATATCAGCTCCCAGCGAAGGCAACAGAGTCCGACCATGGATGAGATTCGAATTCGGATCCGCCAGCACCACTCTCCCAGCCCGCTCCACCTCCTGGAGCTCCGCGATGCCCACAGCCCCCGCAGACGACACCGTCAGCGCTCTCCGGTGCGCCTGCAGTGTGCCTTCAGACGCGCCCTCCGACAGCGCACCCAAGATCCGACCATTGTCACTGCGACACCCGTAGATCGCAAACGCCCCCTCGGAGGACATCACATCCCGACCGGCACGCACCCGATGCGCCCGCAGATGCCAGTTCTCGCTCCCATCCGCCGGCGGAATCAGAAACGTCTCCACCTCGACATCCGGCCAGGGGCGCCAGTCCGAGACGAGGACGGGCCCGTCCCCGTCCGGATACTCGAACCGCGCGTTGAGCGTCGCCCGCCGCGTCTGCCAGATGTCGCCGCCGTCGTCGGACAGCGCCAGCATGCTGTCGGGCGCGAACTGCTCCAGCTGATACGAGCCCGTCGGCACCGAGTACCCGAACGACGCGCTGTAGGCGAACTTACCGTACTTGGCCTGCGTGGCGCGGATCGGATAGTGGCACGCCTGGCCCGAGGAGAGCAGGAAGGTGTGCCCCCCGCGGTGCACCATGATGTGTTTGGGGTACGTGAGGGCTGTCACGGCGGGGAGGACGGCACTGGGGTAGGCTTCTTCGGTGGCGGCCCAGAACGGATGCGAGTCAGGCAGGGCCAGCGGCACGAACGACAGACAGCACCAGTACGGCGAGCCCGGCGAGTTGTAGTTCTCCGTCAGGTACATGTTAGCGTACGAGTATCCGAGGTTGAGCGTGCCGTCGTTGTTGAACATGTCGCGCTGCGTCGACCACCAGCGAAAATGCCGCAGCAGGAGGCCCTTGACCATGCCCCAGGTCAGAGGCGCCGGAGGCTCGACGTCCGCAAACGCCAGCGCGCCCCAGAAACCGACCATCGCGAAGCGGTACGTCATGGAACGTCCGAAGGGGATCGAGGCGCCTGTCGGCCGTCAGTAGACTGTATGGCTGTAGCAGTAGCAGGCCTGGCAAAAAAGAAACACGGAAGCATACCACTTGGATCGAAATAGTGCACAAAGTCCAGGGCAAACTGTCTCGCCCGTTCTCGGTACTTCTCTGCCCGCGGCTGGTCGAAATCCCCCGCCAGTTTCGCGTACAGCAGCTGCAGGAACTGGATCGCAAACGACCCGGAGTAGTAGTCCATCTGATGGTGGCTCTTGGGTCCGTCATTGCTCCATCCACCCCCGACATGGAACGTATCCAGATGGTCCATATCGGCCTCAATCCGGGACAGGGAATACGGCGCGCCATTGCGTCGCAGACCGAGATTGGCAAACACGCGGAACCACAGCCTGCGCTCCACCCTCATTAGAAGATACTCCCACAACCAAAAGCAATCCTCACATACCAGTTCGTGTTCGGCATCTCCCGCTCGTTGATGCTATTCAGCCAATTCGCCACGTTCTCCTTCTGCGCCGCGCTCAACGGATCCCAGAACACATGCGGCGCAACGGCCAGCGTGAACCCGATGGGACACATCTCCACCATGCGCTGGTCCATGTCCTCGATGTGGCCCCAGAACTCCGGGTGCGCGGGATCCGTGCCGTTGATGAAGCCCTCGCGCCAGCGCGCCGCCGCTGCGTAGTCGTACCCGCCGCCGACCAAGGCCGACAGGCCCCAGAGGGGCCGGGCGAAGCCCTCGATCTGTGCGCCGCCCTCGTCGAAGCGCGTGGTCGTGGTGCCGATCTTGACGCGCGTGCATCCGGGCGTGAAGCATTGTACGAGGGGGTCTAGGAGGGCCTGACAGGCGGTTTGGAAGTCATGGCGGGTGCGGAAGGGCGATTGGCTGAATGCCTGGAGGGGAGTCTTTCCGTTTGCGTGGACGGACATGATGGTTGCAATTGGGAGTGTGAAGTGGAGGGGTGTTGAGATGGTATGCACTGGTCTTTATAGTTGATGTGAGGAGGGGGTCGGACATCGGGATAAAGTCCGATCTGGCCATGCATGGTATTTAGCCGGTTAGACATTAGCATAAACAGTCTCCGCCGGTGGAGTGCAGTTTTGTTATAGTATACATAAGTGTGTATCACGAATGTGTTGTGATGATTGTCACTACAACCCTACAGCTTCACACACCGAACATGATATTCATGAACCCCTGAACCAACATCAACCTTCTCACCCCCCTTTCCAGGAAGAACGACAGTGGCCCGGGTGTTGGGCGGCACTTCAGCCACGAGGTGGAAATCGAACCCGCCGCACGACTGGTCTTGCCCGTCCAGCCACCACTTCGTCGAAGCCATGCCGTACGGAGTCAAGAACTTGGTAGACGCCTGCTGAAGATCGCCGCCAGGCACTACCTCAATATTGATTCTCCTCCAACCGGGCTCAGCAGGAGACAGACCCCCGATGACCTCATGGAGCCAGCTCCCCACAGAGCCGACAGCGTAGTGGTTGAACGAGGTCATCTGGCCCGGGTTGATGCTCCCATTGGGCAACATGCTGTCCCAGCGCTCCCATGTCGTGGTGCCGTTCATCACCACCTGATACAGCCACGACGGGACTTCCGTCTGTCGCAGCATTGAATAGAACGCGTCGGATTCTCCATACTTGGACAACGTATGGCCGAGGAGATGGGTCCCCGCAAACCCGGTGCCCACCTTGTAGTCGTTCTGCTTGATGATGTCGACCAAGCGCTTGGCGGCCGACTGGGCCTGTTCAGCGCTGGGGAACAGATCAAAGTACAGCGGGAGGGTCAGGCCTGTCTGGGTTTCATTGGCCATCGTCCCGTTCGACGTAATCCATGCCTTCTGGAATTCCTTGGTGAGTTTCGCGTGCCACTCTGTGTAGTTCGACGCCTCCTCTCCTTTGGAAAGGGACGTCGAGATGTTGGCGAGCATGTCCGTGCTGTGGAGGAGGTAGGCGTCCGAAACGAGATACTTGTTCGTGGTGGCATCCCCCGGGTCATCGGCCGGAGCCTTGGGATCGAGCCAGTCGGCCCATTGGAACGTCGACCGATCCCACAGACCGACATCATTGCGTACAATCCCCTTGTCCACCCAGTCTTTGGCGCCCCCATACTGCTCTTCCAGCATGACCTTATCACCAAAGCTCTCGAAAAGCTGCCATGGTACTCCGACAATTGCATCTCCCCAGATAGAGGTTGGGGTCTCTCCGTTTCCGTGGATGTTGGGAATAACATAAGGCAGTGAGTCTAATGAGTTAGTTCGTTGTCCATTGTGGGATATACCTGAAGTAGATCCACAGATCGATCGACTTACACGAGTGGTTCAATTGCTCGGAACGGGCGTCTTTGAGCCATGCTCTCAAGAAGCCCGCCGTGTCATAGATGAAGTTGGCCGTTCGGGAAAAGGCATGAATGTCGCCGGTCCAACCAAGCCGCTCATCTCGCTGAGGGCAGTCGGTGGGGATACTAAAGAAGTTCCCTCTCATGCTCCAGAGGATGTTCTCGTGAAGTTTGCTGATGAGCGGGTTGGAACATTCAAAGTACCCCGTCCGTTCCATGTCCGAATGCACCACGATGGCGGTCACGGAGTTTTCATCAAGAGGCGTGTCTGCTGGCCAGCCGTCGACCTGCACGTAACGGAATCCGTGATAGGTAAACGAGGGCTCCCACTCCTGGACTCCTTCGCCCGAGAGGGTAAAATGGTCCGTTGCTTTGGCCTGGCGTAAGGGTCGAGTGGCTACCTCTCCATTCTCCATCACTGGGACAGTCAGTCTCATCCGAGAGGGAGTTTCGGCGGCCTTCAAGACATACCTTCAGTATGAACAAAGCGAATAGTCTGACCCTTGGGGCCCTTGACTCGGATGCGTAGCCACCCTACAAGGTTCTGTCCAAAGTCGAGAACCGTCTTTCCGGAAGCGCTAGAGAAGACGTTCGCAAGCTTGTGCTCGGCCACGCGTCGCACGGGGGGGCCGTCTGGCGAGGCCAATCTCTCCTTAGGGAACGACAGCTCGTGCGTACCAAGCCAGCCGGTGCTGTTAAAGCCCACCTGGGACCAACCCTTCTGTTCCAGCCTGGAGTCATATTCTTCTCCATCATATATCTCCGACGAGATGATCGGCCCCGTGCTGGACTTCCAGCTGCTGTCGCTAGGGATGTAGAGCTTACTCCCATCCGACTTGGTAACGACAAGTAGCGAGAGCAGCCCAAGTGTGTCGCCATAGATATTGCGCTTTCCGCCATCGTATCCGATACGCCCGGAGTACCATCCCTCTCCCACAGTGACGCCAATGGCATTGGGCCCCTGCTTCAGCAGATCGGTCACGTCGTATGTGTTGTATTCATGGCGATACTGATAGGACTGCCACCCGGGCGCCATGACATGGTCACCAACGCGCTGGTCGTTGATACGGGCCTCGTAGAGCCCCAGCGCCGTGATGTACAACCGCGCTGAGACGTACGAATCATCCACGGAGAATTCCTTGCGAAACTGGATCGGTCGATGGGTGGCGTCCACCTCCGTCGGCCGGTCAGAGGCAATCACGACCGCATCGTGCCAATCGTCCGGCGTGAGGAGACCCGGCTCGACGGTGACAGCGTCCGACCAAGGCGTGTCGTGCTGGCCGTCCGATCCGAAGGAGCGTACGCGCACCGTCGCCTCTTCACCCGATTGCAGCGGAGAGCTCGGCCAGGGAACCAGGACCGAATCGGAAGACTCCGAACGGAAGACGTCTGCGTCGTGGCCGGCTCGCTTGACCTCAATTTCATACGCACGTTGCTCCCAGTCGGAGACGTTGCCGTCGAACCGCCATGAGACCCGGGGCTGCGTCTCGCAAATGCCGAGGGCCGTTCGATGGTGTTCGAAAGCCACTTGGGAGATTGACAAGGCCATGGTGGATTTGATGGGCGGATCGATGCAGTGGATCAACGCAGCCCTCAGTCGCCATTTAAGTATGGAGACCGCATCGCCTTGTCTAGAGTCTCTTCATCCCTTACCTCCGCAAGACAGAGTCTATTTCCCCGCATCTTCCGAAGATCAGGGTCAAGCAATACATCCGACACCTCCAGCAGCGTGGATGTCGAAGAACATTACCCCGAAGACGCTCAGGGGTTCTAGAAAGTGACTTTACGCCCTGGACGCGATGACATCTTCCCAGAAGATTAGACTGGTTACGTTTCACTCTCCGTGTAGATCTTGCAGAATGGAGGATGGTGGTTTCATCGAATGCGGGGACACTTCCGTCGGTATATCTTCTGCTCTGGCCGAGATGTCCCGGATCGTCCTTGCGGGGTCCAGCAGAAGTCAAAATTGGACCAACTTGATTGCATGCTCGGTATTTAATACCCCGAACGATCGAAGAGGAATCAGTATCCTCATACATGCCAGCCGGTGCGGCTGGGTTGGTTTTGTCTTTGCGCATCCAGAATCACTGGCATTGTCGGTGCTGTCCAGAGCCCCTGTAAAGGCTTCCTGTCATTCGCAGCAATCTGGCGAGTAAGACCTCGACGGAGAGGAAGACCGGTCAATTGACAAGGCGGTCCAACGACAAGTTTAAATGCATCATTCACCGAGTGAGTAACCTCACAGGAGAAGAGCGATATACAATTCCATGCTTCTTCGGCGTGGACTATGATGTGCCCACCAGAACAGAATGGGAATCTATCGACCTGGCTAGAAATTATATACATACCTATGCCTATTTACAATGTAGAGGGCCCCCTTTTCGAATAGGCTACGGACAGCCCAGTTTCTTTCCGATGAAGTTGGACAGTTCGTGGACAACGCTGGCGTCCGTACCTAACCGGTCCAGCAGGATATTGTCCCATTGGGATTGTTGCATCGCATGAAGATGCAGGCCATTCAAGGCTTCATGTACACGGCTCGCCTGCGAGGACGCTTCCGCTGGGTCGTCCGAAGTCGAGATATGGCTCTCAATAATGGCACCATGCTTGCAGCGGAGGAATACTCGGGTCTGTCAAATCATCAGTCAGAAACCATACAACAATCAAGCGCGCTCTAGATCTCACCGAAGGGGGAAGCGTGGGCGGCAACGGCGGTCGCTCTCTGGGGTCATCCTCAATTGGATAAGTGGAGAAGGTGAATTGTGGTGTCTGAGTGTACTTCCAATCCAGGGACTACAATCATGTCAGTACAGTGTTCAACAACAGGAATGACAGAGACGCAGACTCACCGTCAATTCATCCAGCCCTTTCTTAATCTCTAGTTCCCCGTAAGCCAGGCCTTCTCCGACGGCCCCCGCAACCCAGTTCTCGCCTGTATACAATTCGGGCTCGCCGACATGAGCGCGCTGGGCGCGACGCACCGCATCCGGGCTGACCTGGTATAGACGGGCGAACTCCTCCATGACGCTGTCGACGACGCCTTGCATGGAGAAGAGGGCCGAGGCGTCGGCGAAGACCGACGAGACATTCGCTACCGGCGACCGCACACTCTCCACGCCTTTTGCTTTGACATAATCGCGGGCCGGCGACTTCAGGAAGTAGCCTAATCCGTTTATATTGGGCGAATCCAGCAGGCAGGTTCCATGGTGTAGGGCGCGGTGTCGCGTCAGCTTAAAGGCTGATCCCGAGATCTTTCGGGGCTGGCCGTCGTCTATCGGTAGGACGATGTCATGACGATCATTGACGCGGGCGTGTGTCGCCCCAATGCGATGCAATGCTTGCACCACCATTTCCGCGTGCTTGTTCCGGGTGAAGGTGTTGCGCGGCGAGATAACACTGTAGTTGAGGTTGCCTTCGTCGTGGAACACGGCACCACCGCCGGATCGCCGACGGACAAAGAGGACGTCACTGTCGGTTGGTGTCGTGTCCTTCCCCCGGTCGTTGTAAAGCGCTTGCAAGTTGGTTTCGAGCCATGGATTCTGATTGCGGCCGATGACGACACACGGACGGTTGATGTAGAGGAAGAGAATGCTGGAGTCTGGAGGCGCGTGTTCCAGGAGAAAATGCTCAATGGACAGGTTGACGTAGGGATCGGTGGAGAGGGATTGGTAGAGCTGGTGTTGCGCAGATGGACGGCTCGCAAGGGAAGGGAAGAGGTCGACAGGACAGGACGAGTACGGTCGGCGAGAGGATCGGAGGGAGGCGAGGAGGCGAGAGCCTCGCGGGAGAGGGCGCATTGAGGTGAGAATGGGGAAGAGGTAATAGGAAGTAATAATAATAAGAATGGTTGATCCGGCGGAGAGAAGATTAAGGTAGGTCAGGTACCGGGAGCCACTCTTAGTAAGGATCGTCCCCACATTCAGCTACGGAGTACACATAACTAGTAGTACTACAGCATACTGTACTTAGTAGCACTCTGCACACCTCTCTCTCGTCTCTGTTAGGAGTAATTAGATATTCATCACACACACACTAGTAGCGATCCAAGTGGGCCCCATTGGAGATGCGAGTCAGGTCCGATATAGGAGAGTTCTTGAGATGAGGCATCGTCCTTGGACCATCTCTTACTTTTCTCCAGTGTCGCATGTTGAAGCACCTAGTAACTTGGTAGGAGTATACGCCATAAGCGAACACAAGTACCTGCGAGTACCTCTGGCAGAAAAGACCGTGTGCAGGTACCCTGAGCTACAACAACACTGCCGATCGGGAGCCGCCCGTCCGATCTCCGGGAGCTAAACCCAAAGAGGCAAACAGGCTCTTCAGCGGCATTTCGTCCTCGATCCACTCACTCCCTCACTCATCGCACTCTCCAGCATTCTCCTTCTCCTTCTTCTCTTCGGGTGATCATCTTTTTCTCTTTCTCTTCTCTTCACCTCAGACCATTGCGTGTACGGTTGCGACAGACTCCCAACACCCCCCCTCGATACCCCTCTCCCCGCCGAATTTTCCCCTCCAAAAACATCTCCCACCATGTCGACGTGGGGTGAACATTTCCGGGTCACCACGTATGTTCTCTCTTGTCCCTGCCCCTGATCCAATCCAATCCAACCTGACCATCCTCGTCTACAGCTACGGTGAATCCCATTGCCGCTCCGTCGGCTGCATCGTCGATGGCGTCCCTCCCGGCATGGAACTCACCGAGGACGATATCCAACCGCAGATGACCCGTCGTCGTCCCGGTCAGAGCGCCCTGACCACCCCTCGCAATGAGAAGGATCGCGTCGAGATTCAGTCTGGTACCGAGTTCGGCGTCACCCTGGGCACCCCCA